ATGGCAAAGCGGATTTAGATCAGGCCCACCTTGTTGCTTCTATGCTTTCAGAGTTTGGCTCGTCCTCCGGCCACCGAGTCAACTCTAGAAAGTCGTAAATTTATTTCTCGCCTAACACAGATGTGGGTATGCAGCAATTGTTCTGTTTCTTTCTGGGTTACCAATAGGTGTCCACATTTGATAATTATTTGGGTGTCCCAGTTATCCACATGAGAGTCTGTTGCAGTGACTATGACTTCGTTTTAGACAAAATGCGGGCGAGACTTGATGGATGGGCTGCTCGTACTTTGTCCTTTGTTGGGAGAGTTACCATAGCCAAATCTGTATTAATGGCAATTCATGTTTATTTCCAAACCACGAAGCTTTATTTGAGCGTTTGCAATGAAATTGATAAGATTGCAAGACAGTTTATTTGGGGTTCTTCTGCTCAAAACTTTTGCATGTCTCTCGTGAACTGGTCTGCGATTTGTCAACCTCTTGATAGAGGTGGTTTAGGTTTGCATCGATCAAGTGATCACATTATGGTGTTCCTTTGGAAGCTTGGTCATTCTCTTGTTTCTCGTCCAAATGATTTCTGGATTCAGGCTTTGCGTGAGAAGTACAAAATGACGTCTCTGTGTCCACTTTCGATCATGAGATCGGCCTGATCACCGCTATGGAGGTCCCTATCCCACAGCTGGTTCAACTTTCGCGCTAATTTGTATTGGCTCCCTGGTAATGGCCTCAATATTAATGTGTGGAATGATGATTGGATTCATTCGTTATGTCCTCTTTGTAATTACATGCAGTATCATTGAAGCCTTGTCTCCCATCCTCATTTTGAGAATTTACTTGATTCGAGTGGAAACTGGGATATCAACGAGCTTTCTTCTATTCTCCCTACGAATGGTGTTCCTCACATCTTGGTCATTAAACCGCCAGGAGTTGAGGCGGGTGAGGATCGCTGCTTATGGAAATGGGATAGGTTGCACAGGTTTAGCTTTAAAAAAACATATTGTAAATTGGCTGAAGGTAGTTGGGATGCCCCCTCTCCCCTTTGGAGCATGATTTGGTCGCTACAAGTTCCTCAACGGGTTCCCAACTTCCTCTGGCTGGCCATTAGAGAATGTATTCCTTCCAATCATGGACGCCATCGTCGTGGTTTGACTCCAAGCCCTGTCTGTCCGCTCTGTGGTGTGCATGATGAAACCGTGCTTCATATCTTGAGAGATTGCCAGGCTGTGAGAGCAATCTGGAATCAGTTGTTGCAGGTTTCTCCTTTGCGCTCGTTTCCACCACAAAGCTCGTCGAATGGATCCGATTGAACCTTGCTCATCATGATATTTCTCGGGTATGTCTGTTCCTTGGAATATTTTTTTCTCCACTTTTATTTGGCAAACATGGAAGCATAGGAATTGCTTTGTATTTGCCGACTCTTGCCCCTCCATGGATGATGTTTCTATTTAAGCTCTTCATGTGCTTTGCATTTTGCCAATGGCAATTCTCTCTCGCAAACGCCCAAGCTTCGACAAGCCGTGCCAATCTTTTGGTCTCCTCCTCCAAATGGTTGGTCTTGCATCAACACGAATGCCTCGGTTTATACAGTAACAGGATTCAGTTCGGTTGGGGGTATTGCTCGAAGGTCTGATGGATCTTGGATCTTTGGTTTTTACAAAAGAATTGGTGTCACAAACCCGCTTCAGGCCGAGCTTTGGGGCATTTATCTTGGTCTATGTGAAGATTGGCAATATGGAGTCAAACTTCTGCAGGTTCAGTCGGATAGTCTTCAAGCCATTTGCCTCCTCAAGAATCTTACTGCTGATAGCATCATGTTTCCCCTTGTGCATGCTATCTCTCAGATGTGTAATCGTAGCTGGTAAGTTGAGTTTCTTTGGGCTCCCCGTGAGGGTAATATGGTGGCCGATAGTCTTTCAAAGTTTAGTCTTCCCCTTGATTACGAGATGCAAAGGCTCGCTGAACCACCTACGTCCGTTCTCCCTTTGATTCATCGGGACATTGTTGGCCCTCCTTATATTAAATTTGGTGTAATTGCTTAAGGCTTTGTCCTCCTTTCAATAAAAAAAAATCTTTCCTTTCCTAGCTTCTATTATTCTTTTAATATAATATTTTGTTTACTAATACTTTTGGTGGGTCGTTAATTCAGTTAAATTCGGGATCGTAGGTTCAGACATTAGCGTCTACATCATGTCTGGAAGCCGCCACCACCACCGATCCAAGCCAAAAGTTGTTCTCTTTGGAGAAAAATTTTACCTTTAAAAATACCCATTAATACTAATTAAATAACGAGCCAGTCGCCTTCCCCAGCATGACCCATATGATCTCTTGCACAAATCAGAGCCTTCAAATTAAACGGAAAGGTCAGACTAAGATTTGCAGTCAAATCTTTCTCCAAAAAAAGGGCATTTGTTCTCGACTTGATCCTCCTTCGCCCTGTTTTCAAACTTCTCTAAACTTTTAAAAACTGTTTTTGTCTGGAGAAGAGAACGAGTCCAACATTAATTTGGCTGTCTTTGAAACCGTTTTTGGTCGGTTCTTCCAAATTTTAAGACAGCTCGGTCATCTGGAAAGTTGTTTCTAGACAAGGGTCTTTTCTTTCTTTTTACTTTCTCCCTCTCCTTGAATTTTCGGCCTGTTTTGAGGTAGTTGCAGTTATAGTTGGAATTTTCACGAGAAAATTTTGGGGTTTCTCACAAGAAAGTGTGAAGGGCACTGTCAACTGCTGGTTTATAAATAACTTTTGTTTTTTCTTACATGTCCTTACCGTGTCTTTAACTATGAATAATTCTGGGGCAGCTGTTGAAGTCACAAAGGATAGAAATGGAACTGATCAGATTCTGCTTCGGAATCTTCGAGGAGCATCTGCAAGGGTCAGAGTCTTTTTACCTTTGTAATCTTTATTTCTCTTGTTGTCTAGTCTTTTCCATTGCTTTTAAGGTATCTGGAATATTGAACAAGTTCAATAGGTTGAAGAACAGTTTAAAACTCAATAGATGCTTAATTCTAGTAGTCATTTACCCTCTCAATCAAACTGTAATTTGGGGTTAAATAGTAATATTTTGCCTCAATCTATTTGCATGGAGGACAGGTTCTTTCATGGAGGACCGACCGAGGTGAAGAATTGCTATTCACAAGTAGCAAGGCGACATTCAAATCTGCAGTCAGAAGCCATAGCATTTGTATTGTCACATGAGCCAATTTTTGTGCTGCAGGCAATTTTAAACCGCCGTATGCGGTTCGAGGAGGGATACCTATATGTTTCCCACAGGTATTTAGGATTCAATGCGTATATGCATCAAGTTTCTCTCTGTCTGTATGCATCTGGTTGATGTGTTGCCTTTTGAATTTGTTAGTTTGGTCAGCGAGGATCACTCGAGCAACACGGGTTTGCCCGGAACAGGACTTGGATCATTGACGAGAATCCGTTGCCTTTGCATCCTAATGGTAACAATGGCAAGGCCTATATTGATTTACTGCTAAAGCCATCGGAAGATGATTTGAAGATCTGGCCACACAGGTGAGGTCTATATAAGATTAGGAAGAGTTATCTTCCACTATAAAACTTGTTTTTTTGTGATTATGCATGTATATTGATTACTGGTTTATACCCTTCCAGTTTCGAATTTCGTGTTCGAGTATATTTGACAACAGATGGAAATCTAAGCTTGATATCACGCTTCAGGAATATCAATTGCAAGCCTTTTAGTTTCTCAATAGCTTATCACACATATTTCTCCATTTCTGATATCAGGTACACATATATTTCTATCTTTCAAGTCCTTTGACCATTAAGCTCTAGACATTAATGGATATTCTTTCTTGTATACTAAGTAACAATGAAGTGAGGGTAGAGGGATTGGAGACTCTTGACTATCTCGACAACCTATGCCAAAAGGAGCGGTTCACCGAGCAAGGAGATGCATTAACATTTGAATCCGAGGTAAAGCTTAGGTCCTCCTTTCTCGGAACCCTCAAAGCATTGTGGTTCAGTTGATAAACTATTTTTGCAGGTAGATAGAGTAGATGTTTAAGCCTTAATTATTGCATTCCAAATTGCAGGATGATAGAGTTTATCTTGGCTCAAGAGATGTCATAGTGATATTCGACCACCAAAGAAAATGGACCTTTTGTATACGGAAAGAAAGCATTCCAGATGTTGGTAAGTTTCTGAAACCTCTTTGATTCAATCTAAACATGTGTTAATGAATGGCATCCGCCCAAGAGAACCAAAAACACCGGCCTTGATGTTAAGTTCTTTTGTGTTTCTTCAGGTGTCTGGAACCCATGGGAGAAGAAATCTAAAGCCATCGTTGATTTTGGGGATGAGGAATACAAACAGATGCTTTGTGTCAATGGGGCAGCAGTTGAAAAACCAATAACATTGAAGACAGGCGAGGGCTGGACCTGCCGTCTGGAGCTCTTGGTTGTCCCTTCAAGTTAACGACGGCGCATGAAACAAATAAAAAACCCTTAGATCAACCAGAAGAATATAATATGTTGCTTTGTATTCGATTCTTTGTATGATGCTAAGCTAATATAATAAGAGACCTGATCACTGTCTGTGCCTCCCAAGTGATCATGGAACTGAAAATTCCTGGAAGTTGGAGATCTGTTTTAGTGTTTCTTCATAGTAGAAGTGACATTAGTTGTTTTTTTTTTTACTACAAAACGTATGTGTAATGGACTCTGGAATTAAAAATGACAATGTTGCAGAAAGGAGTGATTAAAATGGATATTATTAAGAGCCTTTTCTTTATGCATTCAATCATGACTCGGAAAAACGATGCAAAAATTAATATATCAGAGCCAGGTTTCGATCCTGGGACCTGTGGGTTATGGGCCCACCACGCTTCCGCTGCGCCACTCTGATCGTTGTGACTGGGGCTTACAAATTATATATCAATTTAATTAAACTCAAAACGATGAGTTCAGAATTTTAAAAAAGAACTAAAATGAATAGTCAGTTAAATGTTAAGGACATATTTTGGTATTACGCCTTTGTTTTCAAATAAATTATTTTCTCCTTGATTTGCTTTTTCTTCTGCTATTTTCAGCGACTATAGCCAACTACAGCACAGGACATGAGGATCTCACAGGTACTTATTTCCCTCCAATTTCTCCAATTAGCTATTCAATTTTAAACTTTTCCAATCTACCTTCGTTAAAGCGAAAGTGATCTAGATTGGAATTTCTTTCTTTCTCTTTTATTTAGGTAAAAATTGTTTGTTTTTGGGTTTTAGGTGATGGCTTCAAAGCGGATCTTGAAGCAGCTCACGGATCTCCAGAAAGATCCTCCTACCTCTTGCAGCGCGGGTTCGATTATTCTCTCTCTCTTTTCTCTGCTTCGCGCCTCGTTTTGTTTATTACTTGTGCATTTTCTCATCATCCTTTTATTTGTTTACAGGAAACTTTTGTCTTCGTTTTAAATGGTGTTTTTAGATATATGTTTCTGTTTTTTTTATTTTCTAAATCATTGAATTAGATAATTATTGTTGCGTGCTTGAATTATGAGCTTATATAATGGATTTATACTTATTGTTGGGAGTATACTTTTGACCATGATGATTTCATTGCTTCAAACTGTTCATAACCGTTTTTTGTTTATTAGGTAGGCTTTCATTCGAATTAGTTATACTCTAATTCAAGTTGTATGGAAATGGTTAGCATGTTTTGCCGAAGAATTTTTCCAGCCTTCGGAGTATTGCATTATGTCCATGTAAGAGCTCAGCATTGCATCACCATTTCTGTTAAATTTTCTAAAATAATTTAGGAATCAACATGTCATATTTTCTGAAGACAAATGAGAGGTTTTATCAGGTAAATATTTTGATTATGTCGTTTGCAGATCTGGTATTCCATCTAACTGTTGTTTTACCTCTTTTGATAATTGATGGAATCAGGTCCTGTTGCTGAAGACATGTTTCATTGGCAAGCAACTATTATGGGTCCTCCGGACAGTCCATATGCCGGTGGAGTGTTTCTAGTCACCATTCATTTCCCTCCGGACTATCCATTCAAACCACCCAAGGTTCTTGATTGTATTCCCTAACCTTTTTTCATTCTTTCCTGCTTCGCTGTATGTTTTGTATTTGTACCTTTCTTGACTATGTATTTAACTGTAGTTGATTGTCTTTTATTTTCTCAAAACATGCCACAATGACTCTTTTAGTGTATTGAAGAAAATAGCGTAGTGCTACGTGTACTTCAAGCCAATTTTTTTATCATCATGTGCAATTGTTGTAGACGTGACTTTTACCTCCTTAGAAATCCGATACAGCTTTTCTTGATGTGGTGTATGCTCCTGCTTTTCCCAAATTTTATTTCAACGTTTTCAGGTGATATGTATTAGCATAAATGTTTAAAGCCTTCAAGTTATTTAGCCATTCTGTTGCTGTAAATACTGTGACCATGGTATTTCTACAGGCTAACTGGCTTGTGCAAACATTGCGTAGCATCGAGAGGAGTAAATGCTTTCTCCACTTGCTTACCTTTTAGCTTTTGTTAGCTTATTATGTTGCAAAATTTTTCTTTTTTAATCTTCATAGGGCATACATGCATGCTCGGTTAGGTGGTTTTCAGTGCCAAAGTGTACATGATTTATTGTTGTTTTTACTTTACTTAGCAGTATCAGGTAAGCCTTCCCTGTTACATGCATATGGGTATTTTGTTATGGCTCCTCACATTGCTTCTTGGCTAAACAAAAGATAGTGTATGGACGCTACGTATAATTTTATTTGATAATGTCCATGTTCATATATTGAAGATACAATATCATCAAACTTATTTTGGAAGAGCAATTTATTGTAACTGCCGGGTGATGATTTGTCTATGCTGAGATAAACTCTGCTAATTCTTATAATTACAGAGTAAATCATATGTATTTCATGCTTTTCTGACCTTAATGTCCTTACGACATGCTTGTCTAGCAGTTGTCATTACCGCCACTTCGTAGTTTTTCTCAACTAATTTTTCCCTTCCATTTAGGTTGCGTTCAGGACAAAGGTCTTTCACCCTAATATTAACAGCAATGGTAGCATCATCCTTTATATTTTGAAGGAACAGTGGATCCCCGCCCTCACCATATCCAAGGTTATTTGTTCAACTCGCCATATCTGGTCACCCTAATCTAGATTTTTCTCTCTCTATCATGTAACATTTACTTGCCTTAGTTTTACTGTCATCTAGATATGGAGATGTGTTCTTATTTTTGTTTTGATTCTAGGTCTTGCTCTCAATCTGCTCACTCTTAACGGATCCGAATCCCGATGACCCATTGGTGCCCGAGATTGCCCACATGTACAAGACCGACAGGAGCAAGTACGATACAACTGCTCGGAGCTGGACCCAGAAGTATGCTATGGGTTGATGTGCTGGTATGTATACCATATTAGGGCTTCATTCCATTCAGGCTTTGGTCTTTAAATTAATGTATAAATCAAAGAGTCGATTATTTGTACGATAGAAGGGCTTCATTCCATTCTGGCTCCTCTTTATTTAGTGAACCTAACCTGCCCTAAAACACATTTACGACGTTGATTATTTGTGTGGAAACTATCTTTGAGACTTAAGCCCCCACTCTTCAAAATACACTCTTGATTTCAATTGTTCATCCTTTCATTTTTATTCTGCAAAATCAAAACCCGGTTCAGCAATTTGATTGTAGTCGAAATCATTTTTTCCAATATTTTGTGATTATCCTAAACATCCATCAATTTGATTCATAATCTTGTATCGTATATTAAGTAGCTTAAATCAATATGAGAGGTGGGTGATTCTGAGAAAAAATATAGAAGTGAAAAGATCTCTTGTAGTTGTAAAAGTAAATATCTTGTGGCTCCAACATTAATTAGGGTTGTCCTTTCTTCGGCCTTTTCTATTGTACGATTATATCATCCCTGACTACGTTTACTCATTAGTCATAGTGGTGGGTTGGTTGGGTCTGAATTGTTTAGAAACCGACACCCACACCACACATAATCTACTTTTTAGCTGTGTTTCAGTCACTGTCGTAATGGTGATCGTAAATTCCTTCTCTCCGTGGTGGTTATTTCATTATCAAAACTGTCGCTAAATGGGGGCAACAGCTGACACTGCCTACTCAAAACTGATCCAAAATTTAAACTCCCCATTCAATGCATTTTCTATATATAAAAAAAACAAATACCGTACGTTGAGAGCCGTGGTGCAACTCAATTCACCCAAATGGATCCACCCAATTTTCATCTTTCATTCCTTTTAAGCCTAACAGATCACATTCGTGTACTGTCTCATGCATTGTCGATCCATTCTTATTCGGCACTTCAAAAGTTTACCGTAAAAATCGTACTGTGCAAGTTGTTAATATGGATTCCATCTATCTAGTTGAGTATTTATTAGTATTGTTGAACGAATTTTTTTTAATAAGCCTTCCAATTATCGTATACTCTAGTCTTTAAATGATGACTCACGTACAATATTTCAAAGACTTTTTTTAAAGAGATTTCTAAATCTATTCATAAAGAAGAACAAAAATATCAAGACTTTAAATGAAGCACAAAAGAGACATGGATAACCAATAAAGCAAGGAGTCAAACCATACCCTGCCCCTGCATGCATTTCTTTTTTTAATAATTCTTTTGTTTCCTGTGGATGAAAAAGATATATTAAAGTATTATGAAAAAGAGATATTTAAAAAATTCTCATGTTATAACATTAAGTTAGACATACCGAATCATGGATGGGCGAATGATTTTATATTACGTTAGTGAATTTTTAAATTTTTAAAAGATGATTAACTTATAAAATTCTATAGGAAGAAAATATATTATTAATAAAAATATATATATAAATTAAATATGTAATTTAAAATTTTCAGGCCTCTCTGCTCCCCTCGGTCCATCTCTCGAAACCAAGACCAAAGGTTGTTGCATGTGGTAGTTCCCAAGTTGACTATTAATTAAGCAATACAAATCCTAACTTAATTAATGTGCTTTGAAGATAAGTTTGTCTCTAACGAAGACAGAAGTTGCATATTACAAGTTGTTCTCCCCCTCGATTATCTCAGTTATTGATGATGATATGGTCTCTCTTTTCTAATACTTATAAGCATTTGATTCATTTATCAATTAATTTCTATTATGTTTAAATCGAGTTTAATTACATAAAACTTTCTAATTTTATTCATGTATTGTCCATGTTTAGAGGTCAACATAAACCTTAAGGAATTGATTTGGTATTTACCTTAGCTCCTACCAAAACATAGAAGCTTACTTGTATTGCTCGAGTCTACATCATGAGCAATCACATTGAGAAAATGTCCTATGTTTTGAGCCTTGAAAATAAGAATTGATTGGTGAAAACTTCAAACTTTGCTGATCCACATTTAATAATTATGCAGCTTTTGTACTATTTAAATACAGTACGTGCTAGATACCTGCAATCATTAGTTTGAGTAGATTGCAATTAACCAAGCAATCTTGATCAATGGTATAAAACTAATTTTGGACCATCATTATCATGTGAAAGCCATTATTATTTTATTTTGTAACACGTGTTTTTTCAATTTTCAAGTGGTGAGGAAGTGTCATGAATCATGACTGTGATATGTCTATTTTGCAACTGCAAAACCAATTTGATGTTGACTGATATCAATGTTTCTCTCAAATAACAAAACACGTTGAGATAAACCTCATGCATTCAAATCAAATAGCAGTTACATTTGTAGTTATGTTTTCGGTCACATTACGATCACGTCATGTTTATCGTAATTGGAGACAAAACAAATATTATTGTGAGAATTATATGTATCGTAGTCATATAATAACAGTCGCGGAGGGCATTATTATCGCTATATCGTAGGTTCTATCACGATCGCAAATCGCTATTTTAAATCCATGATTAGACAGTACTCAAATCCAAAGCTCCCAATTGTTTTTCTATTTGCTTGTTCTCAAGAGCTATTACAACAATTTTACAAGTCTTCCAAAAATAATATCTTTTTTAAAATTGATCAACTTCACTCGAGATCACTTAAATAGAAGCAGCTTCTAACTTGATTTTAACATGGTTATCTATCTATTAATTTTATCAATTTTATCAATTAATTATTTCAATAATTTCAATCAAGACTCATGCGCAAGGACGGATTTAGACCGGGCGGGTTTTCCCTGAAAATTTAAATTTACTATATATTTTAAATTTCTTTATGTATTTTCTATTGAAAATTTGTTTTAGCCCCCTATAATTTTATAAGTTCAAGTTCACCCCCTAAAATTTTATAAGTTTAAGTTCGCCCCCTTAACATAGAATCTTGCATCGTCTCTGCTCATGTGTTAACATTTTAATGAAAAAAAAAGTAACACGACAAGTAACAAATTTGATATAATTATACATTTGGTATCTGTTACTACTTAGATATTTTATATCCAAAATGATATAATTTATAAGCAATAAGTAGTACTAAATATAATTATACTACTATTTATTTCTACCTCATATTCTCTATTAAATGTTAACTACTAATGATTTGGTTTATATCATTTAAATAATTAAATATTTTGATTGAAAAAAATTGAAAGATTGATAATTAAATTATTATTATTTTATTAAGCTAAAGTGATTACAAAGTAATATCTGTTCTAAATACTCTCAACTATTTGATATTGAATCAATCACCCTACTGCAGTCGTTGATGCTTGAACTCGTGACCTCTAAGAACAACAACGATTATTTTAACCACTAAGTATGGATGGACATGGGTCGGGTCGAGTTTTTGGTCCACCCGACCCGACCCGAGAACAAAGGATCCTCCACCTGAGACCCGACCTGACCAAAATAAAATTTCACCCGACCCGAACCAGACCCGACATATAACTTAGAAACCCGACCCGATCTGACCCGAAATAATAATAAAAATATTATTTTTATTCAATAAAAAAAGTGACTTAATTGAAAAAACTATATATATAGGGGTATTATTGTAATTATTCCTAAATATATAAGATAAAATTATATACTTTTTCTGGTCGAGTCGGGTCGGATGTTTTTCACCATAAACCCGACCCGAACCCGATTTTCTTACAAAAAACTGACCCGATCGGGTTGGGTCGGGTCGGAACCCGTCGGGTTGGTGTCTCGTGCTTGATAATCAAGGATGAGTCTACAACGCACGTCGCACACCGCAACATACCACTAAAGCGATGTATCGAAACGTGCTACTAGCTAATTGTCCTTATTAAGTAAATATTAAAAGGATAATTTATACATTTAGTGCTTGAACTTAAAACCTCTAAGGATAACAATCTTCCCTTTAACCATCTCAATAATAATAATACACATATTTGGCTAAATATCACATTTAAACCCTTCTTTTTCTGTCTTTTTTTGGGGGGGGGTTTTCTATATATATCATATACATTGCGATTATCAAACAATAAAAATCTAGGACTTAAAGGTAGCTTTTGCCTGAATTATATTATATTATGTTGTATATGTGATGAAATGGAAGTGTTAAATGAATCCAATATCTAGGGGATGATGCTGATTTGACTTGTGCATTCAACATTGCAGGGATCGAAGGGAGACTTTCGTGGTTTTGAGGTCGACCCAATAAAACAACAAACATGTAATATAAAACACGCAAAACCTTTATCATTACTATAAAAAAAACACATAATTCTTTGGACCAGAGAACTCGTCCACGCATTATTGTCGAATTTGAGATGCTTGGTTCTATTTATTAGAGCCGAATTTAATTAAGGAGGCGTTGTCCGAGAAAGCTACATCGTGTGTGCTTTGTTTTGCTTGTCTTTTTGCCTCTAATTCTTGTCATTCCAAATTCCAAATACCAACGATACTTCTTCTTCTTCTTCTTCAAACAATTGGATCTCAAAACACTTTTCTCTATGAAGGCATTAATGGATTGTTGGTCTGTTTTTCAAGGTCTTTATTGCTATTTTTTCAGTTAAAAAAATTAAGCTACATTAGTAAATGCTCCTCGGCAACGCAGGTTATTAATTAATTAAGTTCAAAAAATTATTTATTCATTAATTAAATTTATTTAAAATTTATTAAATAATAATAATCAAATTTTCCAATAATAATAATAATCAATCTAGTTATTATACAATCAATTAAAATAATAAATTGATTTTATTGTACCAAACTGTATTTTATTAACTTTAAATTTTCAATTTATGAAATTTATTTTAGTTTGGATTCTTTCGATCATTTTCAATAATAGTAAATTTTAAATTGACTTTCAAGTGAATATCCGAATACATATGGCTTGGGCATTTCAATCCTATCGAGCATGGCCATTTTACCCCGAATCAGTTTGAATTCAAATTAAATAATAGATATATTAAATTTAATTATAAGGGTAAACTACATTGGTAGTCACTAAACGTTTAAGTCACTTTTATATTGGTCACTGAACTTTTAAAACTTTTGTTACATGCACTGACCTTTAAATTCAGTTTCGTTATGGTCACTGTCTTCAGGAAATACGGATTTCTGACGTGGAGTCAGAAATCCTAATTTCCGAAATTGCAATTGCTGCAAAAAGTCAAATTTTCGATGAACAAAAAAAGTTAAAACTTGAAACCAAACTATACTAATATTATAGCCAAACATATAATTCCCACGGTTGGAATTGATCAACAATTGTAATGTTGATTGAAAATTTGATCTTGGTGGCGGTTGTCAATTTAAAACCTTAGATTCTTTTTTAGGAATATATTTTAACGTGTCACACCAACTTTTTTAAACCAGAACTACCAAAACTGACCATAATCAAGGCATATTAAAAGTTTTAGTAATTGAAATGCAAGTTTTAACAGTCTAATGACCAAAGTGAAAGCATCTTGAACATTAAGTTACCCATGTGGCTTACCCAATTATAAATATACTAAACATAAAATGTTAAATATATATTATTTGAAATAAAAACATCAAATTTTTGTTTCCATTTTTAGTGTTTTATTTAGGTTTTTCTTGCCATTCTGTTTGTTTCTCTGATTTCCTTAATTTCTTACCTTAAAACATGATAAATAAAAAGCACGTGCAGGAAAATGTATATATGATATGTTTTGCAAATGAATTTCAAAAACTTTCTCATGAAATTTGACAATAAATTTGGCTCACACTAAAGAGAAGAAAATGCGCGTAATATTGTGAGAATTTATTACCATCTTACGGGTAATATTTAGCGTTTGGAAAAACGATCGTTGGCTCTAATAACGAGCCACGTGTCAATAATACTGCTCCCGAACTGCATGAAACAAAACACCGAAACAGCTTCGCAGTTTTACAGTCGACACCCAGCCTACAGTTATTAAATAAGTAAAAAAATAAAAATTGAAATAAAAGGACAAAGGGACATGGTTTTCAGAATCGGACCAGTTAGCGAACCGGCCATGTTATTAGTTCACTAGTTTAACCGGTCGAATCGGTTCGATCGATCGAAAGAATCGGATGACATCATAATTATTTAAAAAATTAAATCAAAAAATTAAAAATATTTAATAAAAAATAATTTTTTATATCACAAGCCATATTCAAAGCAAGTCATAACATATATAAGTTAAAAACCATAAAATCAAGTTAAACAAAATGATTCAAATTAACTATAATATAATATTTAAGGTAAAACATATTAAATAATAAATATAATTATATAACTATAATTAAAAAAAATTGGGGCTAAAAAAATCATAATAAAATGATATTGTTTGGCTTAATTTTTTTTTTTAAAACAATCTCACATGGCTAAGAAACATAGAAGAGCATTTCAAAAGTCTAAAGAGTAAAAATATGAGAACGAAACAATCCCACATGACTAATAAACATAAAAGAGCATCCCAACTAACTTCTATAAATAATAGAGGTAATTTGACATTCAAAATCATGGAGCCTTTTGGTGAGCATTGAGTGAACTATTCTTTCACTTCAATCAAGCTCGAATTTTAGACTTCAATTGAGCTTCTAATTTTTTTTTTGAGTTCAAGCCTTTTCGAGTTCGAGTTGAACTTGATAATTTTTAGCTCGTGAGTTTGAGTCGAGTTGAGCTTACTTTTAAGGTTTTCAAGTTCGAGTCGAGTTCAGCAATACTCGAATTCGACTAGGCTCGTTTAACAACGACGTCGTTTGGTTTAATTTTTTTAAAAAAATAAAATTGACGGTTTTTTTCGGTTTTCAACCAGTCCAACGGTTTCAATCGGTTCACTAATAACGGTTCAACCGATGTAGATTAAATCAGACTAGACAGCGATTGAACTGGTTGAACTGACCGATCTAGTCCGGTTTTCAAAACACTGCAAAGGGAAAACGAAATAGCATCGAGTTCGAGGTTGCCTGCCACGTTGATCCAGCTGTAAAATATAAATTTAAAAGATGGTGAAATGGTAAATTTACCAGCTGTATAACGGCTTGCTGTAAATGACGAGAATGCCTATGGAAGGTTAGGAAACTGTAGAATAGATTAATTAGGGATAAGGATGGGTAACTAATGGGGGTGTTAATAATCATTAATTAACAAATTGTTAATATTCCTTTCAGTCAAAGTTTGGGACTGACTCGAGTGTTCTGTGTCACGTGACATGAAATCCCTGATTTCGAGAATTAATCTTTTGGCTGACTCAGCCTCCTCAGGGTTCACCATTCTCCTTGGATCTTCCCGTTACCGGTGACCACTAACACGTGTCGGTATCTCGGACTATCATGTTATGCGGCGCCTCGTGAAATATATCTCCGGTGCGGGGATTTCAAATCGCCGAAAACCCTTTAGTAAAAACTAGAAACTGAAACTTTTTCTTTTATTCTTTTTTTTTTACGGCTGGCTTGGGATCCTATAAAATAGCTTAACTTTCGGTATTCACTTCAAAACTTTGCCCCCTTCTCTCTTTACTCTCTCCTTATCTTTCAAAAGCGCTCTTTCCGTCTCCTTTAATTCTTATTTTCCTTCGTTCCTTTCTCTGAGATTTTTTCCGGAGAAATATCAGTTAGTAATCTTGGTTAAGTTCTTACTCTGTTAAGTGACCGAGAAAAGCTCTGTCCGGTAAAATTTTGGGGACATTCTCTTCCCCTTTTCCGGTGAAGATATTTGCTTTGCCGTGTCTTCCTCTTCCTCTTTTGTTCTTCTACAACTTTCACCAACAGAAATTTCGTTTCCTTTTCCTTTTTTTCCCCTCTCTTTTTTTCTTACAACTTTACTTGAAATTTATCTTCCTTTGATGAACTTTTGAGTATACCTTTGAACCCCGCTTAATGCTGGATTTCTCTCCATATCAAACTTCTTTAACGTGTTCTTTATTCAGTTTTTCTTTTCTTTTCTTTTCAACCCTTTATTCTCCTCGTGTCTTGATCTAAAGGAATTTCTTCTTTTTATTTTACTCCCTACTGTCACTCTCAATGAGAAGTGAAAGAATCTGAGAACCCAAAGAAACCAAAACGAAGATTGAGAAAAAAATGGATACTTTCCCTGTTCCTTCAATCAAATATGCAGAGCACCGCAACCAAACCAAACTATTTTCACCATTGTTAAATGCTAGAGTCGAAAACCAGCCCGAAATGAAGCCTCGAATCGTTCGGATTACTGTTACTGATGCTGACGCCACTGATTCCTCTAGCGATGAAGAAGAAGAAAAACCAAGAACACGAATTTGTTACCGGAACAGAGTCAAGAAATTTGTTAACGAGATAACTATCGAGTCATCATCTCCCACTGAGAACGACGTCGTTGGTGGAAGTAAATTGTCTTTATCGTTGTCTAGAGCTCCTCGAAAAAGGCCGGCCTCTGTTGCTGTGGCTAAAGGTAAAGCACCGGCGGGAAAGAAGTTCAGAGGGGTGAGGCAACGACCTTGGGGAAAATGGGCGGCTGAGATTAGAGACCCTCTAAGACGTGTACGGCTTTGGTTAGGCACCTACAACACTGCCGAAGAGGCAGCAATGGTTTATGACAACGCGGCTATCCAGCTGCGTGGACCAGACGCGCTCACCAACTTTTCGACTCCCCAACAGAACCGGTCGATTCAAGATAAAGCTAGCCAAAAACCGTTAACCAACTCAGATTACAACTCGGAGGAAGAATCTCATAAAACTGATCCCTGCTCTCCGACCTCCGTTCTTCGCTTCCACCCGCTTTCTGTCGACGAAGTCGACTCGCAAAGCGTCAAAGAACCGCGCAATATCGGAAGCGAACCTCGAGATATCGTCGACGATTCTTGCTGCTTATCGGGAGAAAACTTCCCAATTATCTCCGACTATTCCTCTTTGTTTCCCGGTGACTTGTTTTGTTCGGTGCCCCATTTTTTTGACGATACTACGAGTTTACACGAAAGTTTATTGAATGATGAGTTCGGGGACGTAGATTTCGAGTTTGGATTTGGTGGCTTGCATCATGTTGATGACCATTTCCAAGACATCGAGGATTTGTTCGGGTCGGATCCTCTGCTAGCTATTTGAGAGTGTTTTTTACTTTTTCCTCGTCTAATGCCGGTTTCTCGGCAAGTTTTGCATCGGCCGAACTGAAAAAACCGACTTTTTTTTATTTCCTGCGTGCAAATTTTGTTTTGGTTAGTATTAATTTTATTAATGAAAATCCTTAAGATTAATAATGTAGCAAAAATATTAAACAGTCCCGTCACAGTAACTGTGACGGCTACCGGGGCTACGTGTTCTTTGCTCTGTTTTATATTATGCTTCTTACTAATGTAATTATTCACCTTCCCTGTTAAAAATGTAGGCCTGATAATTAAGTACTAAATCAAACTTAGGTAAACACGCGGTAGAACACGGCGGGCAAGAGGAATTTCAGTTACGGCCGTTTAAAGGAATGACAGATATTGCTAAGCCACTCCACAGGGTAAATGAAGAAGAAATTAAAGGATTTTGGGTAAGCATGGATTTGTATTTCATTGTTTCCACGTTTTACATATAACACAAACGTATCATATCATATGATTGTGGCTTTCCGTTGGCCACTAATCCCTAATCAATACTACAGTTAACTTTCTGGCTTTGAGACGATAGATTTGTTAGAGAAAAAAATTCAAAAGAATCTCACATGAGGAGGTTAAAGGTCCGGCGACTGTCAAGTGTGGTGGCAGTCGGTGCATTTCAGTTTATGGGGGGCAACACTTGTTCATAACGTGGTCTTGAAACAACACGTCAAAAGCTTGAATTGTAAGATAATAAAATGATAACATCCACTATTTACAAGTGCAAGAATGTGACAAGTAAAATGCAAGTGACGAACCAGGTTTCGACGGTCTGATGAAAATAATGAAATGTCTCATTGCAAATCGTGGTCCCTTTGTTAGCTGGAGAGCAGTACAAGTGAACAAGATTTGGGCACATCGTAAACCCAGAGACTCAGAATTTTATTTTCACCATGGCATGAACCTGAATCCCATTAACATTAGCTAATCGTTGCCCAAAAGGCTGAAAAAATTCATTAAATAGAATTTGTCGTAATTCCAAAATAGTAACATCACACCGCCTCACACCTGACTGCGCCCAGACCCAACCTTCCTAACATGACAAATACAATATTTATTCCGCAAATGTCTTTGTTTCTTTATTTTGTGATATTACTTTTTGATGTAAAATAAAAGACAGTAAAAACTAAGTCTTGTGGGTTTTTAATATGTTTGGGACCCTCGGGATCATACATATTGCCTGATCATTTATTTTACATACCAAAACTCGCCTGATCATTTATTTTACATGCCAAAACTCCCCCAAACCCTTTGTTCCTCAATGAAGGTGAAAGCTTTTCAAAAGAACAACCAAAACATTGCAAATAAATTTGAAGAGAAGGCAAATTTGAGCGCCTCTTGGTGATTGGAGCTAATAAGAGGCCAGGGAAAGGCAGCCACACAACCAAAGGGTGCATGCAGAGTCACGAAATTCCAAAACTACCCAGAAGATCTTATTCGTTATTCTGCAGGTCCTGCTTGCGGCTATTCAATCATGGCCGTACACGTACTATCATGTTATCGGCCTCCCGATCTTGTTGTTTCAGTGTAAGTCGTGCAAGTAGTAGCAGCTGCATGCAGCCCCAACCTTGGTCCCCGCCAAATTGATCCATCTCAGCCATCACTGTTTTATTTTCTGTTCTGAATGGTACGGCTGTGATCTGGTAGTGGTCCCACGCTCTCCGGCGGTCTTCCCCATCCCATTCGCTTGATTTGGACCCTCCGTTTTGGGCAAGTATTTGTGGCTCATTGTGGAGATCCACATAAGCATGCTAAACCCATCATTTATTGGCCCCTTTTTATTACTGTTATATAGTCGATTATTCTATCGAGAAATCACATGGCTGTATATTTACGAATACCGTTGGTGATTGAAATACTTGTGCCTCCCTAAATCTCTTTCGCTTCTTAGATATTAAGAGGATCTATGAACATTTTCGAATCTTTGATTTTTATGCATTTTAATTTTTTTTAAATCCTATAAAGAAATACTTAGAATATTTAATATTTATTGAGAGGTTTTGGCACAACTTTTGATATGATCACGTGACTCATTAAAGTTAAATCTATTATCAGTTGATTAGATCAGTAAATTTGCTAATTTACAAGTAACTTTAATGTTTTATGTCCAACTTTAGCAGTAAGAATTACTATGAAGCCTTTTGATCAAATTGAGAGAAGGGATGGAACTTTTTATTCTCATACCTTATTCAATCGTCTTCTACCTCTTGATGGAGACGAAGATTTTAATACCGATTAAGAATTGTTTCTCCCCAAACTGCAACTCTCCACCCAAATCAAAATGCATAAAGTAAATATATCTCAATAATACTATATTATCAAATTGAGTACAAATGTACAAAGGCGTGTGTTGAGGATGTTTGGAGGGTGAGGAGGTCACATGAAATATGTATGGGGTATCTGTACCTTTGAACCCGGTGAATCGAAATGACCCGAGAGGCCCATAAGCCATGCGCAATTTGAGGGGGGGGGGGATGAAGAGAGGGGCCATACATAATGTTACAAGTGGTGATTTTTTTAAAATAAAGTTTTTTTTTTAAATAAAAAAGTATAATCGAATAATTTGGGGTGATTTTTTAATAATCTGAGGTGATTACAAGATAATATATGTTTAAAACCTTTTTAATCGACTGACAACACACATCAAACCCAAGACTTCTAGAAGAAAAAAAATTTATTTTACTATTAAAGTCATTTGATAGGTTGTTGATGATTGCTATACATAATAATAATAATATTAATTTTAACTAATACAACTTCAACGATTTGAATTTTTTGATATAAGAGTTCAATTCATGTTTACAAAAGTTTCTATCTAAAGCTATTATAATAATAATAATAATAATAATAATAATTATTATTATTATTATTATTATTATTATTAAAAGAATTAATCTTTTTTATTTTTTAAATTAATATTATGTTAAAAATAAAGATTAATTTACTTGATTTAAACATTTTTAACTCGTATTTTTATATATATTATAGATATAGACATAGATTAAATATTTTGGAAACCCTTAGTTTAGGAAATCTATGTAATTTTTTTTAATATTGTGGAAAACAACTTATAGATTCTACCTTTTAAGGACAACTTTGTAAAAGTCCAATCCATGCAGAAGAGGCCCATTGTTCTTCGGTTGGAAAGCCTTATCCAGTCCAAACTGAACCAGTCATGGGCTCATCATTTTGGATAGGGGAAAATACACCTCGACTCACTCAATTATTAGTTAGTTTACAAATGAATGCCTTTTCTCTTTCTTTTTAAGAGCTACAATTTTAGCACTAAATTAAAAAAACCACTATAAATAAGATAATAGCATCCAATCACTAAACTAAAACATTATCACAAACATATTATTAGTTTTTTTTATAACAACATGTATTCGGTTTATTGACCAATTATTCTTGATCAGGTACTACAAAACCGAGGGCAACCCTCTCAATCCAATTTACTCTATTTGCAAACGTCATGATTCAAACATCTAACCTTTGCTTAAAGGTTCTAATGTTTTATCCTACTAGACTAACTAATTATTGGTATATTATTAGTTGTTAACTATCAGAGAAAATAATTGTATGATATAATAATGATAATTTTAGTGTTTAAAACTTAAAACTTTTATTAATTTGATCTTAATTCAAAATAATTTAATAAATTTAATTCCTTATATTCATTTTTATTAATTTAATATTTTTCCCAAATCAATTATTTTTTTCTTAAAAATAATGACGGATCTAAAAATATTTTTGAGGATGTACACACTATATTAATAACATAAAATTTTAATATAGGGTTAACACAAATAAAATTTTAAGATAAAAATAATTAATAAAATAAATAACAAATCAAATAAAATTTGAATTTTAGGCTCGGTTTATCAAAGGTTGGAATCACCACTTCTAAATAATATACTAACTTTTTTATTTTCATGACATATTAATAGTTTAACATAACATCATTTTCATAATATAATATATAATAGTTTTAATTTTAACCTTCTCTTTTTTTTGGTAAAAAACATTAACTTTCTTTTAACATAATGTAATCAACTTTGATTTAATGGATTTATTTAATTTGATAATATCATCAATACATTTTTTAAATACGGATAATTATATTTATTAGATTATTTTTTAGAGAAGACATTAATTTTATTAAAAATAGAAAATATCTAAACGACCACAATCGTAAACTAAATACATAATAAAAATATTTTCCTAAATACGATAAAACTAGTCACCCAAGATCACAAGGATCATACAAGGAAAATGTTAAAAACCCTAACTAAATAAACTATTGAAAGAACACCAACAAAAGGGATGAAGTTATTGAAAGACCACCAACAAATCATATATCAGAATTGAGCAACGTGAAAATACTATCCCCGAACAAAAATTGTGTATTTAAGTCAAATTCGAGAGTCCAAATCAGCAAAAATCAGCATGATAACAAATAAAGTGTTATTTTAATCAGTCATGCTGATATCAAATCTAACCCTAAAAAAAAGAAAAAAATTAAAATAACAACCAAATTATCAAAAACGTGCCAGGAAGAAGGACTTAAACTATTACTATACTAAATAAAACAACTAATGAAACAATAATGTTTGTAATAATATTTTAATTGAATGGTTAACTTATCACTTTTTTTATAAAAGTGATCTATTTATAACTAAAATAATAAACGGGTGACTTGAGTGTATTTTACCCTTTTAGATATTATGGGTTTTGTCTCGATTACGTAAGATTCAAGGAACACAAATGGAAGATGGTGGAAGAAGAAGAGAAGAAAATGAGAAAAACAGGACCACCAAACATAAAAATTCCCATTATCAACATCCAGAAGAAGGTACAACAATCATTGGTCTCAAGTCAAATCATTCCCTAATTCTAACCCTTTGGTACTGATGAAACAGACGAGAGCCATGCATGGTTACACATCATCCATCCCATTTACATATTGCGATGCTGGGCTCAAAAGGTGAAGCAAAGATCAGCAGCGTGAATGAGATACGTGAGCGCCAGTGCCACCACCA